TGTGTGGGTGGGTGATGGTTTTTGGTTTGGTGGTTGTTGTGATTCTGTGATTCTGTCATTCTGCTGATGGACCTTCCCCCCCCACACCATGCCAGCCCCCGGGGGGGCAAAGAAGGATGGGGTCCCACCTTCTGCTTGCCCATGGGCTTCTCCTCATCTTCCTTCTGCAGCAGCAGAGCTTGGACCGAGCAGTGCAGAGGCAGCGCAGGAGACCCGTGTCTGCTCTGCCCCTCGGTGCCTCCAGCATCGCCCCCCACAGCACCCCCCCGCCCTCGGCTGCAGGTGAGTGGGGGCTGGATGCTCCATCCAGGGGAGCAGAGGGCTGATGGCGTGCACCCCAGCCCCATGAGCAGGGTGTTGTGCTGTGATTCCCCTGCCCTTCCTCCCGAGCATCCTTCCGCTCCTCTTCCTCCCCAGAATCCTTCCTATGACCTTCCTCCCAAGCATCATTCCTCTGCTCTTCCTCCCCAGCACCTTTCCGTTGCCCTTCCTCTCCAGCACTCTTCCTCCTTAGCCCCCTTCCTCTGCTCTTTGTCCCCAGAATCCTTCACCTGCCCTTCTTCCTGCGCATCCTTCTTCTTCCTCCCCAGAATCCTTCCTCTGCCCTTCCTCCTGAGCATCATTCCTTTGCTCTCCTTCCCCAGCATCCTTCCTCCCCACCATCCTTCCTCTGCCCTTCTTCCTGCGCATCCTTCTTCTTCCTCCCCAGAATCCTTCCTCTGCCCTTCCTCCTCTGCATTCCTTCCTTGCTCTCCTTCCCCAGCATCCTTCCTCCCCACCATCCTTCCTCTGCCCTTCTTCCTGAGCATCATTCCTCTGAGCTTCCTCCCCAGCATCCTTCCTCCCTAGCACTTTTCCTCTGCTCTTCCTCCCCAGAATGTCTCCTCTTTCCTTCCTCCTGAGCATCATTCCTCTGCTCTTCTTCCCCAGCACCTTTCCTTTGCTCTTCTTCCCCAGCACTCTTCCTCCCCACCATCCTTCCTCTGCCCTTCCTCCCCAGCATCCTCCCTCTTCTCTTCCTCTCCAGCATCCTTCCTCCCCAGAATCCTTCCTCTACCCTTCTTCCTGAACATCCTTCCTCTGCTCTTCCTCCCCAGCATCATTCCTCTGAGCTTCCTCCCCAGCATCCTTCCTCCCTAGCACCTTTCCTTTGCTCTTCCTCGCCAGCATTCTTGCTCCTTAGCCCCCTTCCTCTCCTCTTCCTCCCCAGAATCACTCCCCTTCCTCCTGAGCATCATTCCTCTGCTCTTCTTCCCCAGCATCCTTCCTCTGCCCTTCCTCCCCAGCATCCTCCCTCTTCTCTTCCTCTCCAGCATCCTTCCTCCCCAGAATCCTTCCTCTACCCTTCTTCCTGAGCATCCTTCCTCTGCTCTTCCTCCCCAGCATCATTCCTCTGAGCTTCCTCCCCAGCACTTTCCCTTTGCTCTTCCTCCCCAGAATCCTTCCCCTGCCCTTCTTTCTGCGCATCCTTCCTCTCCTCTTCCCCTCCAGAATCCTTCCTCTACCCTTCTTCCTGAGCATCCTCCCTCTTCTCTTCCTCTCCAGCATCCTTCCTCCCCAGAATCCTTCCCCTGCCCTTCTTTCTGCGCATCCTTCCTCTCCTCTTCCCCTCCAGAATCCTTCCTCTACCCTTCTTCCTGAGCATCCTCCCTCTTCTCTTCCTCTCCAGCATCCTTCCTCCCCAGAATCCTTCCCCTGCCCTTCTT